ATATATTCCTTCTTAAGAGTGAGGAATTCCCTTACCTTGGCCTCTCTCAGTTCACGGGGAATGAAATGCCCCAAGAAAGCCTCCTCAAACATCGCTTAAATCACAAGTGGTGCACCTTCAGCTCTATTCTTCTTCTATTGATAAAACCTTATTCTAGCAACACTTTTCAGTTTGTATGCATCTAGTTCCACTCGATCAGTATCAGCAACATACATAACCTCAAACATTTTCTGCAATTCCTCTACAAAGTTTTCCGGATCCTCAGTGACACTTGAACCAGTGAAGCATGGAGGATTCATCCTTAAGAACTCACGGATCCTAGAAGTATCAGCGGCTTCCTCTGGATTCCCTCTTTGTTGCCCTGGTTTGTTGGTCACAACTTGGTTTAATATTCAGATAGTTTCATGGAACTCAGCATTAGTGACCCCTCCATGGGGTTGCACTTCTGATGAATTATGTACCCCTTGATCCTACGGTTCAACATTCCTCCTAGTGGGATAACCTCTGACAGCTCTTTATGGAGGCATGATCTAAAAAACACTCACAATTATGAATTAGAAGGAAACATTATATAGTTAAATTCTATGGCAAGAAAATAGTATGAAAAAGTAAGTTCTTACATATTGCAGCCTCCTAATAATAGATGTGGCGCGCTTCACACCGATTACAAGGACTCTACAGACACCCTAGGACTTCTGAACTCTGTGCTCTCATACCAAGTTTCTCACGCCCCGAGCCTACACCCTGGACGTGGCCGGCACTCAAGAACCATTGCTAGCCCCAAGCAAACCCTTAGCCTGACTTAACTCTTAGCGAAAGACTTACTCAAAATTAAAACACTTTAAAAGTAATCTCTAACTCAATGATAACATAGAATATTTTATAAATATACATTCAACTAGCCAAAGTGGTAACTCAAGTCTCAACATAACTGACTCAAAATTAAAGACTCGTGAACTATCAATATCTAACTATCTATTAAGCCTCTAATAACTTAGATGGATGTCGGGACAAGACCCGTGACATCCTAACAAACTAAAATGATAAAGCAATTAAAAGGGGATCCTCCAAAATCAAGGAGGCTTACCAACAACTCTACAGCTCAACCGGATCAACAAAGCGTTGAATGTTAATCCTAGTTACCTGTATCCGCATTATAAAAGATGCAGGCCAAATGAGGTCAGTACATGGAATGTACGAGCATGTGAGGGGAATTCTAAAACAAAACATAAGCTTTAAAAGGGAACTGAAGAAACTTACCTCATATAAACTCAACTCAACTCATTTCAATATAAAGCAGTACTAAGGATGTAGTATAAAGATAAACTTTAAAACATGTAGATAACAATTCAGTGTATTGAAAAACACCATGGTAACTTAGCTTTGTATATGAAAATACAATTGACTCTTTGGGAGATTCTCTAACCGACAACCATCACTATGAGCTATGTGATGATACAACGTCTTGCTTCACGCTTCTAGGGTTGTCCTATACTTTGTCGGGGTATAGAACCTACTATTAAGTGGATCCACTAGTCTGTGCTAAAAAGCATTAAGGAACCATCTAAAAAGTATGACCCTTTCTACCCATGTTGGCTACATGGTTTATGGAGACTTTGAGTTATCTGAACTCGTTCCCATATTAGTGTTCAATATTACTCCAAAAATGTAACTAGCTCAGATGTTTAAAAACATAAATTTTCTGTGGTTTGATATTATTACTCAAAATCTATCTCTTAAAAGAGATGGTACTCTAAACTGCTCATGAAAACTCTTTCGGAAATCGGTGTTTTCTCTCATCTTAAATGTGAAAACATTTACTCTTGGGAATACGTAGTTCCCATATTTAATTTTGAAGAAAATGAAATTGTCTCTACTCTTTCTCAAACTCAATGCTTAAGTCTTATAACAAATTTAAAACAATTCTAGAAGACTTCTTGAAACGACTCGAAGAACTCTTTAGACTTGACTCTTAGCTCTACCTTGAATTTGAATATAGATTCAAGGATTATGATCTCGGGATGATCTCATAATGTTTAGACTTCCGTTAGAGTGTTGAAATCAAGTAGAATACATAGGTACGATTTAAGGAAACTCAAACTGAAAGAAGTAGGAAAGAGTAGAGGACCTGGTGACCTTGGCGTACTGAGTGGCGTGATGAGTCCGAGATTTCGACTCATTTAGAGCTTTGTTGTGATAATATAAGTGTTCTCAAATGCGTAACTTATGCTATAAACTAATGTTAGAGAATTGATATTCAGCATTACATGCTAAGAAACAAAGCAAGGACACTACTGGGAAAAAAAGGAACCAACAAGGTGCAGAAGTGGAGAAAGGCGATCATGGTAATTGCCACGACCACTCGGCGGTCCGCCGAGTGGCTCTTAGTCTACAAAATTTTACAAAACACCACCTCTGATACAAAAGACATTTGGGCGAAGGGAGTTTCAGTGAATCACTGAATCGATCGGTGAGGAGGGGTTGTGACCGCCAAAGTGCACAAGGCCATCAGTAAAGCTGCAAGCAGAAAGGCGATAAAAGGGAAGAAAGGGCGCATCGCTGAACAACTCAGCGAACCCCGACTCGGACTGCCAAAATTTACAATATGAAATGTATGAAATCTGAGCTAATAAGGAGATGGAAAAGGGTGATTGGCGATTCACCGACTGGTCGGTGAAGCCAGACTTTCCTCGCCAATTGACCCAAAAAGGCAGAATTGTGGATCAGTATAAATTGATATTTTTTTGAAGAGTAGTCGCATTCCAAACATTGTGAAAACAGATATTAAGAACAGAAACACCATTTTTGTTGGTTTTGAAGCATTTTCCTTGGGATTTCTAGTTGAGTGTTGTAATTAAAGCAAGATTTGTACATTTTAAGATTTGGGAAATCAATACCCAACTATGGAGCATGTAATAGGTATTGAATTTCCTTCTTTTATGATGAATAGCTAAAACCCCATTCTTGGGGGTTTGGCCATGTGACTAGTTGCCTAATTTAGCTAAATTGGTGTTAGATATTATGAATTGTAGTGCTAAATCGAAGTGGGTCTGATTTATTTCTGTGGTTTAAATTGCTTTGTTGAATCTTTAGTTCAATGTGATTTAGTGTTTCATGCTTTCTTGAGAGAGAGGTGTGGATTCAAAGTGATAAATTGGTATTTGTAATCGTTGGGTCATTGTGGATTTAGCTCGAGAGAGTAGTTATAGTGAGGTTGTGGATTGATTTTCATTTAAGCTTGTTGAGGTTCGAGAGAACTCAATAGAAACGAGATAGTTGTTTGAGAGAAAATTATCTCATCTAGGGTCCATCCTACCCATGAAGATTTAGTAACTTTTAGTTATCACCTAATACCCATCGATCGAGAATTGGCAATTAGTTGGTCATTCCTCCAAGTCCCTTTTACTCATTTGATTACTCTTGTTAATTGTTGTGATTGAGATTTCCATCTGATATATAAACCCCCCACCCCCCGAACATGACATTGATCTCACCATTCTAATTTAATTAATAGTTTTCGATAATTCCTATTCCTACAACTATCTAAATCACGTTTATAAATTCTTAACTGAATTCAAAATTGTACAACTCCCTATGGGATCTACCCCCACATATTTGTTTGGTTTATACTAGATTACGATCATCTACACCTAGTTTTGGATTAGGTGTAGTTGAAACCTTAATCAAAATGGCGCCACTTCCAGGGATTGGTGTCTAGAATTATCTTATCGAATTTTAAATTTTGATCTCTTTGGTTGTAGTTGAATCAATTTAATTAGTTTTGTGTTTGTGTTGTTTGTGTTGAACAAAGGAAGAGATGAGTGTGAACAGGAGTAACGGTAGCCAAGTAGGGCACCAAGACGATGTTGACAATCTTAATGATGTGAATGACCCAATGCAATTTGGTGGATCTGGTGCAATTCGTCTACCTCCAATCGAAGGGAATGTTATCTTCCATGTTACTAGTACAACGCTCCAGCTAATCCAAATGAATGGTCTATATGGAAAATTGACTCACGAAGATCCACATGGGCATATTCAGAATTTCGTGGATGTTTTTGGCCCACGAACATTCAAGAACTTATCACAAGAATCCATCTGTCTCGAGTTGTTTCCATTCTCTTTGATGGGTGAAGCTAGCAATTGGTTAGCTGAGTTACTGAGGGATTCCATCACCTCTTGGGATGAGCTTACCACAACGTTTAATGTGAAATTCTTTCCATAGTCTAGAATGATGATACTAAGAGACAACATCAAGGGTTTCAAATGCTTGTAAGGTGAGCCAACCCACGAGACATGGCTGAGGTTTATGAAAGTGTTACTTCATACCCAACTCACAAATTTCCGAGCACCGTGCTACTACAATACTCCTATAGAGGTCTTGACTCGGTTAATAAAGGAGTGGCTGACCAATTGGTTCGAGGATGAATAATGTTGCAAACATTTGAGGTAGCCTCGTCTCTTCTTGATGAAATGACAAAGATAAACAAAGCTCGGTACACTCAAGAAGACCGAATTAAACCTCTTTTGTTTTAGGATGACGCAAGAATAGCTTGACAAGGAGAAAGAAAGGGATGAGATTATTCGTAAAGTGTTGTCCCAAATGGAGCTACTACAAAAAAAGTGTTAGAAAATGTGGGCGAACCAAAAGAACCAAGGGGAGTGTTTAGAGTTGAGGAGGGTTCTCACTCGTGCTACTCAAAGATGGGGGGAATTAAGGTTGGAAATCTTACAAGGTTGAGGAGGGTTTCCACCTAAGCTACTTAAAACATGGTGGGAATCAAGGTTGGAACTCTCACAAGGTATAATAATGGAGGCGATACTATCAAGAATGGGCCAAACAAAATGATCATTGGAGAAGAGAAGATAATCATGAAGAGGACCACACGTGATCAAGTGATAGCCCAAAATCAAAATGTAGTTCAAGTAGTCTACGAGTGGATGATTTGTTGTCTAGCATCCTAGACAAATTTGAGGGTTCAGATGACATACTAAAAGGGATGAAAGCTGATTTCTCATCATTGAATAATAGAGTGAATTCTCACGTTGATGCAATCAAGCAACTAGAGGGTCAGTTAAGTCAACTTTCAGCACAATCGGGACCCAAAGTAATTGAGAAGGGTGAAGTTGTATACACAACAACTTTGAGGGCTAATGATGACAAAAACTTGGTTGTGGTTACTCAAAGTGGAAAGGTAGTAGTTTGTAATATGAAGGGTAATGATGGGATACAAGCTCATGAAGAAGAGAATCCCATTCAAGCACCGGAAAATCATAAGCAAAGCCTTGCCGAAGAACTACAAAAAGGGAAAGGAAAGAGCACCTCAACCCCAAAGTTAGTGAAACCTCTTCCCAAAATAAACCCTTCATTTCCTCAACGCTTTAAGAAGATAAATGAGGATGAGAAATTCAAGAAGTACCTATCAGTGTTCAAGAAACTTTCTATAAATCTACCGTTAATGGAGGCATTGTTTGAGATGTTGAGTTATGCCAAATTCATGAAGGAGCTAGTCACCAAGAAAACAAGCATGGACTTCGAGACAACCAAAACTTCTCATAATTGTAGTGCCATTATGAATAGTGAGATGATAAAAAAGAAAGAATATCCGGGATCATTCACCATCCCTTGCACTATCTGTATGCTTCAATTTGCTAAAGCCATATGTGATTTGGGGGAAGTATAAATATAATGCCATATGCAATCTATAAACAACTTGGACAGGGTGAGCCAAAATCTACAACAATGCGGCTTCTTATGGTAGACCGGTGGATCAAGCACCCCGTTGAGATACTCTATGATATATTGGTAAAGGTTGATCGATTAATCTTTCCAGCTAATTTTGTTATTCTTGATTGTGAGATTGATGCTGAAATTCTCATTATTTTGGGAAGACCATTTTTAGCGACCGGGAGAGTGCTAGTGGATGTTGAAAGCAGGGAATTGAACTTCCAGGTGAACAAATATGAGTTCGCCTTTAATGTGTGTAAGTCAATGAAAAACCCAAGTGATATCCATGTGGTTTCGACACTTGATGTAATTAATGAAGCGGTAGCTAGTGTAAGCCACTTGATGTGTATGAGTGAACCCCTTGAGGTTGCTCTTGAAAACCATGTTGAGATCGAAGTTCAAGGTTATGATGAAGTGGTGGCCTCTCTTTCTGGATTAGGAGAAACCTCACGAAACCCATTGAAGCTAGATATTGATCTAAAGAATCGAGAAAATCCTCCGGCCAAACTATCAACGGAGAAACCACCAAAGCTTGAGTTAAAAGTGCTACCCGCTCATCTTCTATATGCATTCTTGGGGGCAAATAACACCTTACCCATAATTATTGCAGCTGATTTTCTTGAATGGCAAGTAAAATTGCTACTTGAGGTGTTGAGAAAGTACATCGCATATAGGATGGACTAACGCTGACATTGTGGGCATTCCACCTGGTATTTGCACTCAGAAGATTCAGCTTGATATTGAGTGCAAGCCGAGTGTCAAACATCAAAGGAGATTTAACCCACAAAAGCAAGAGGTGGTGAAAAAGAAGATAATAAAGTGGTTGGATGTAGGTGTGATTTACCCTATTGTGGATAGCAAGTGGGTTAGTCTGGTGCAATGTGTACTAAAAACGGGCATCATCGCAGTAGTCCCAAATGAAAAGGGGGAACTTGTTTCTATGAGACCGGTAACTAGATGGAGGGTATGCATGAACTAACAGAAGCTAAATTCTTGGACCGAAAAAGATGACTTTCCCATGCCATTTATGGATCAAATGCTTGATAGGCTTTCAAAGTGTGGATGGTTGATGAGTCCACAATTTAGACTTATTTAGAGTTATATTTTAACAGAATTAGTTTCCTCAAATGCATGTTTTGTCTCAATAACTGATGTAAACCTTTAATTTCAAGTATTTGGATTGAGAAACAAAGCTTGGACGCTATCAAGCAAAAAGGAACAAAGCGGCTGAAAGAACGAAGAAAAGACTTCCTGAGGATCGCCTAAACTATTAGGCGAGTTTTCAAAAAGTCCTAAATCCCACCGAATGTTCCAGTGTGTTGAGCCCTGGCGGAGAAGTTCAAGTTTTAATGAAAAAGAGTAGTTGGCGCGTCGCTGAGCAGTTCTGCGAAGCAGCACTCTATCACCCAATGCCTCAAACCGCGAGAATGATGAAGGCGAAAGCAGAAAGGCGATGAACCAGACCAAAGGGCGGATAACTGAGTGTGTCGGCGATTACGACTAACTGCGCTGAATGGTCCTTCGCAGAACAAATTTTTGAACACTATAAATACTTATTTAAATTTTTCGCTTAGTATCAAACTTTAGAGAGAAATTTATTTTTGAGACTGAAAATATTTCAGTTTTAGTTCTTAGAGTTTTTGGAGATATTGTGCTTGAACTTGAACATTTGAAGATTTTCAATTCCAAGAAATTGGAAGTGGGTCTCGAAGAATCTTCATCCTTGACGTGTTTAAAGACTATTCATTGTACCCACTTGATGGAAACACTTGTTGGTATCGATTTCTATCTCTTTTTCATGTCTAGCTAAAACCCCAATTCTTGGGGTGTGATTTTTTTAATATGGGTTAAATTTATTGTTGGGTGTTGCTTATTGTTGGTATATTCGTTGTTTAAATGTGATTTCATTTAGTAGTTGTGTTTTAAGTTAATGATATTGTAGTTGCAAATACGATTTCATCTTAATGTTTTTGGCTTGCTCGAGAGAGAGGTTTTAAAACTAAGACTACTAAATCGATAGCCGGAGGTTATTGGGTCATCGTGGGTTCTGCTTGAGAGAGTGAATCCTCTGCCCTCTCCCACACCATCAGCTCGAGCGAGTGAATGGGATAAGACGGAGGTTGTGCTTAAATGCGGCAACTTGGTGTTCGAGAGAAACCAAGTTGATTCGGGGTAAGTTGCCCGAGAGAGAATTTACCCCTACTAAAGTCTAGCCTAGTTACAAATATTCAGCTATGTACTCTCAATAGCATTTACTCGATAGTGTCTTTCATCCCATATTCCTATCACATCCCAAGAATCCTGTTTCTCTATACTCGAATCTTTGTATTTTCGTTGTTTTAGTTGTTAATCACTACAAACCTCCATTGATATATGACACTTGCATCACCCCTTAGATTTTGTATGTTTTTATTCGTTAATATTTATAACTATGACTGATTAGAACTAAGTTTTATTTTTCTATTAATTCTCAAAACCACTCCTTATGGAAACATTTTCAACCCTTGGTTGGGTTATATCACTACACGCGATCGTTGGCACTTGAACTGAAGTAGTTTCCTGATACGTGAAGTCAAAATGGCGCTGCTGCCGAGGAGTGGTGTTGGTTGAGAATTTTTAGTTTAGTAAAAAAAAAATTCTTCTTAGTCGTATTTTACTTAATTTTTAGTTTCGTATTTTGCTTGTTTGAGCTTTGAAATAGAGGAGGTTAGTATGTCAAGCAGTACTCGTGAGTAAATGGAGTTTCCTTCATTAGAAGTAATGATGTTTAGGGATCACATTCTAACCTTCAAACAATTGGAAGGTGAACGGATTCAGGAGGCATGGGCAAGGTTTAAATCGCTTCTGATTCGATGCCCCACTCATGAAATTCCCGATATAGTCCTCCTGGACTACATCTACAGAAGTCTTGGTATCGAAAACAAAGCATTGGCTAACCAACTCATTCCGGGTGGTATTACACAGCATCCCTATGCGATAGCAACCCACTTGCTTGATCACATGGCTGAAGAAAACTAAGAAGTAGAGAAGGACTTCATGTTGGCCGCATTGATGACTCAGATGGATGAGTTGGCCTAAAAGATAGTGGAGATTGAAGTCTGATGCAAAAGGAAGGACAGATACGTCCCCCCCCATGAGCGAAGAAATCCCAAGGACAATGAGTGTAAACTTGTCGAAAGAATGCTCTCAATCATTCTCCACAAGGTAAGTGAGCATGATAAGGTGCTGGGAGAGATGAAGGAGAACATCGAAGTGATGAAACATATGATTGGTTCTCATTCCAGACCCATTCAGCTGCTTGAGAACCTTACGGGTCATGTGATGCCTCATCTCCATCCACCACAAAGCAGGGGGTTGCCAAGTGATGTTTTGGCTAACCCCAAAAGGGAAGTTTAGGTGTTAGCCCGCGTCATGCCACGACGTTAACTAAGGCGTTGTTTGGGAAGCAACCCAAAACCCTTTATTACTTTATTTTTGTTTTAGAAATAATGGTGTGTTGAATGTACATGTTAAAGTGTGGAGAGTGCATGGAAATTGCGTTTGGCGACCTAAAAGTTCCATTCAGCGAATCACCGAACAGGTCGGCGATCTCGATGATGTCCACCGTTTGGACCGCCAAGTAATTGAAGGTCCTGTAAAAGTCAGCGGGGTAAGTGACCACTCGGCGGATTGCCGGGTGGATCAGCGAGTGTGACTAACGTCGCCGAAGGGACGCGAATCAGAGGGTTATTAATGGCCAAAGGTTTTAAAGTTTCAAACTCTTCACTTTCCCTCGCTTTTAAACTTCACAAACTCGCACCAAGTTAGTATTTTCAACATTCTTGCATTCCATAATTATTTTGGTTGTTGATTTGTGCTCGGAGTTGGAAAACTTTGCCGCCTAGCATCTCAAATTTATATTGTTCGGCATAAGAGGTTGGTTTTCCGAATCTCGTGTTTATTTTTATCGCATTTTGTACTCATTTGCAACTGATCATATATTAGTGATATGTGCTAGGCCTATCTTTTCTTAGTTGTTTTGAATATGCCTATTTTTAAACTTGACAATCTTGCCCATATTGTTTTGATCGTTGAATGCCCGTAAATTTGTGTCTTAAATTGAGTAAAATCTTGTGGGGTATGCTTGCTTGTTGGTTAGATTGGTAGGGTGAAGTCTGAGTAGCTCGTATTTGTGCTAAATGATGTAAATTGCACAATGATAGAGTGGGTGACACCATTCTTACAGGCAAAAGTCATCAAATGGCCAAATTTGGCAAAATCAGGAAAAATCTGAATATCCTGGGGTGATGGGTGCTATGGGTTTGAACTTAATTTAACTAGTGCATGTTTCAATTTTGTTTTCGGGGGTCGCGGGGTTGAAATTGAGAAATGGGGTAGAAAACAGGCACATTGGGTCATTTGACGAGCTGGGTCGAGCTCGTCGAACCACTCGGCGGTTCGCCTAATACCCCCATATCGCCTTTAATTTTAGGTTGTATATGTTGTTGGCTACTGTAACTTTCGACGAAAAGCTTGATGTCGCCAAAGGTACTTGGTGACTCGCTGATCGTATTTTGTTTCGCCCTTTGTCTGCATCCCTAAACCCTTGCTGCACAGGAACTTTCGGCGGGCTAGCCCTGGCTCGCCAAAAGCTATCGGTGAATCGCCGAAAGTGACCTCCCATCGCCAACTTGCTGAGAATTTTAAGCTAATCCTTTAGGCGAACCCGACTTAGCTCGCCCAAGAGATTGGGTGACTCGCCAACTTGATCGGAGGGTCTGTCTACAGTTAATTTTCTATGCTTTGATGTGATTATTTATTAACTTTTCTCCAATATTTTGCAGATAGTGCGAACAAATCTTAATAGGCCACCCCAGAATAAAGCACGAGGCGTTACTATAAACGAAGGGGGATCACGTCCTCCAAATAAGAGAAGGCAAGAACTTCCACCGGGAGACAAATGCAAAAGAAAGAAGC